AAGTCCCAGACCAGAGCTTATTTTGAGCGTGTTGAAAAACGTAGTTAAGCAACGAAAATGGATGATGCATGCATCTTTGAACTTATGAGATGTTAATGAAACTGTTTTATTAACATGTTTAGAGTCGCTACCGAAGCATTTTAATGAGTTTACTTAACAGATCCTCCTAAAAACTTGCAAGTCCTGTGACGGTGGAGGAGTGCGTGAGGTTATGGCGGCGCCATCCGTGCTGCCATCTGTGCTGTGGGCGGACATAGTAACTACTTCACAGTCAGCGCGCGGGCGTTTTAAATGTACCTTTTATTGCCACGGAAAACCCTCCATCACCCTACACACACTTCTCCATTACTCTGAGATAAAAGCAGGAACTGATTTTGAAGAACTACCGTGGTTTGGTTAAGAACGAGTTTCCTACATAGCACAAAATTCATTTTGTGTTCATAGTTTCCCTTGTTTTATTTGTCGCCTCTTGTCTCCCGTTAGGCAGAACCAACCTCAGATCTCGACCCCGGAGGGGCAAGCTGATAGCCGAGCGTGTTAAAGCGCGGTCGTTGGCAGATCGTGGGGATGGTCGGAAGTTCGAATCCCGTCCGCGATCATTTTTCCTGCCCTGCTGGACAAGTGTCTTCGGGCGTCAGTCACAGCTAAGATCTGGATGCAGCCAAAAGATGCGCTCACTATCGTTCCTTCGTGGCCAAGTCGGTAGCGTTTTCGCACGGTATGAACTTGGTCGCTGGTTCGAATCTCGTCGTGGTGATATTTTTCGCGCTCCGCTGGCTATGACTTTACACTGCTACAGCCGTGCGACACCTGGCCGGTACGCAAACGACGCAAACAGTCGCTGGTTCGAATCTAGTCGACGGAACCCTTTTGCCATGTGTTTCGGGGTGTGAGCGTGAGCCTGAGGGGAGATAAGCTTCATCTAGATAAAAGCCTCATTGGCATAGTTGGTAGAGCGCGCGCCCGTGACGCGGATGGTCGTGGGTTCGAATACTGACCGAGGCTCATTTTTTCCCATTTCGTAGTTTGTGGCGCGGGGACCAATTGTTAGGACAAAAGACTAGCCG